CGTAAGCGGTCGTTGCTCGGGCACAAGTCCGCATTGTGCTCGCGATGCAGCAAGACCTCTCGCCCGTTGGACGTCGACACAGAGGCGGCGGAGAAAAGGGATGCTTGACAAAGTTCAACATCCCGTCCAGCCAATGGGAATTTGGCACCTCCATGGTGACTGGAGGGCGGAGCTTGAGGTACTCAACTAGCCATTCAGGGACCTTATTTGGATGACGGGCCCACGTGATAAACTCATTTCCAGCAAAGTACCACAGAGCGGCAATTGCCACTGCTACAGCAGCAAGCATCAGTCCAAAAATGAAGTACTTGCTCCATTGAAATTTGCTGGCAAGTTTCAGGCGCTTGTTCTCAGATGCAAACACCTCTACCTGGCTCTCCAGCTCCTGCTACTTGTGGTTGGTGATTTGAACCTCCTTTTGGAGGTGCTCCTGGTCAGCCTTGTGCTGAACCAAGGCCGCCTGGATCAGTCTTTGGACCTGAGTCTTGGTCATGAGCTTCTCAGACTCAAGAACCTGAACATGGTCCTTGAGAGAGATTTGGTGATTGGGGTTGAAGGTCTTGGCGCTCGTCAAATGTCGTCTCACGTATGTCCAGCTAGAATCTGCAGTGAGTGCGCTATTGAGCAACGTTCTAGCAGCTTCCTGTGCGGTGTGACACATTTGGCGTCATGGGCGCTGCTTGATAGACCTAATGGTCTGTTGTATCTGCTCCATGGTTCTGGCCACGAGGACTCACACTGCCATTATGCTCCAGCGGCGTCGGCTGCCTCAGGGAATGTGGCCCACCACTCTTCTGACCAACTCGTCTATGGCCTTTGCTGACTCACTTTTGCCTGCAGTGTCAGGAGAAGTTCGCACCCACCTCACCGGGTACCGCAGCTTTTTTCTCATGAGCCTTGACTGGATCAACACCGATAGCATCCTTGGATCAGTGCCTGCTTACATTCAGGCCAGGCTCGATGGCTTTAAGTGCAGCTGGGATGCTGTAGCAGGGTGGCATTCACCCTCTATCACATTCGATGGAAGCCGAGAACCACTGGGGGACAAATCCAGCAGATGTTGCTAGAATACTCTCTGTGGCTGCCCAGCTCTCATTTCTCAGCAGCAGCACGGAATAGGTGCCCGCTCCATCAGCCTTGGTGGCCTGTTGAAGGCTGGCTCACCAAATGACCCCTGGCTAGAGCGACCCACACTGCAAAAGGCACCAGACCTCTGGTCTGCTTTCCTTGCTTGCACTAGTGCAGGACTACGACAGCAGCATCTTGGACAGACTCGAGTACAAAGTCAGCAGCACTAATGTTCGTACAGTGCCAACTTGACCGTCGAAACGGTATTTGCAAGCCCCCTGGCATCCGTGTTTATGTGGTAAGCTTCCTTTGACTTGACGTACCTCAACACCGCTTTGTCCTGTAAAGACGCACATGCACGCATCTCACCTGTGCATCGACTTGCGGGCTTTATGTTGGGGAGATGTTTAACAATCACCTACCCCTTCCAAGTCTCTACTGCAACCAACAAAGCTCTCGTCTTGCTGTGGAATTCGTGTTGGTCGGGTGAGGTCTTTTTGTGTCATACTTTTAGGGCCTGGTGGTCATTCTACGCAATGAGCTTATTCATGTTCACATGCGACGCGCAAGGAATTGCACGAGCGGGTCAGTTGATATCCTCCACTTGGCCAAACAACAGCTGTCCATGTCTCGAGCCTGCGTCCCAAACAAACAAAATTCGGCATGTGGAAATGTGTGGTGCTGCTATATGTCTCGACCGTCCCACTTTGAAGTCAATGTTGACAACATTGTGCCGGATGTTGACCGGTACGCGGTATGCGGTCCAGCAAACAAAAGCTCCACCCAGAACTTTTGAGACAGTATACGGCTATAACCGCTCGGACGCGTTATCCGCCGTCTGTAGGGTTACACACAAGATCGCTGTGCTTCTGCCCATTGCGAATTGCTTGTTCCGGCGCGCCAGTTGTTATATGCATGCCGACACTGTTGTAAGTTGGCATGAGCGGCCAATGGGTACGCATGTCTTACAGCCTGTACCGGCACACAACGCGTTCCGTGTCTCTTGTGGTAGCATAAGACCACACGAGCCGAGCCTGTACACCAACCCATCCGTAGATACAGACCAGTCAGCACAGATACCACGAGGTGAATGGCACTATGAGTCGAGAGCAGGCATCTGATTTCACACTGCCAGATGTACATCACCGCATGTTGACCAACCCTGGTGCAAATAATGGGGGACATTCCACGCAAAATTCTGCCGTGGTCAGCTAGATCATGAACAGCCCATTCATGATCAATACATTTTCAATCTTGTAAGTCTTGGGTTTCTGGCTGGGCGTCGAGTCCGTTACATCCACGATAGAAATTTCTTTGATCTCACTCTTTTGCTTCGGCAGCCCATGGCTGGGTACCTTAGACCAAGGTTGTGCGGTTTTTCAGAGATGTCGACGGGTACAGGTTTCTGCGCCCCACACAAAGAAGGCGGGAAAATTGATGCCAGAGATGGGAGTGCTGTCGCCGCTGAATCGCGGTCGGCAGACGAGCAAGCAAGCTTGTTCTAGAGTGAAATACTTTGGCAACAGTGGACGAAAGCAGGGTCGCAAACCTCTGAATCTGATGAACCTAATTGGCGAATATTGATGCCTCTCCCAAAAAAAGAAATTCTCTGAGGGAGGAATTTGCTCGAAGCTTGAGAAAGAGCAAGCTGAAATGGGACATGCTAACTTTACGCCACATGAATTCATTATGTATACACTTGTGTGCTGGCATACATTGGTCATAAAATACTGGAAAGACATGCTTGTTGAACTCATCGATCGACTTTCGATGGTGGGTTTCACATCAAGCGTTCCTGATTTGGAAATAGAAAGAAAGAGCTCAAAGCTATTTGAACCTCATGTCGAAGCGCTGTTTAGCGCCTGACTGGAGGCAAAATGGGACCTGGCAGTAACAAACGCGCTGAGTCATCCTGTTTTGCACGTCATGTCAGGTGAGGTGTGCACTACTGGTCTCGAAAAGGCATTTCGAACTTTGTGCACTTTTACGACTGTGGTGCCAGCCAGCAAGATGCCACTGTTAGCTAGCCACATCCCCGCTGACCTTTATTTGAGCTGCTTGGAGACCCGTATGCTTACTGTTTGTTCAGGAAACCCCCAGCAGTGGCCGTTGCGCATGATGCCTGCAATTTCCTTCCCAGCATCTTGGTACATGAGCGCTCCATCGTGAAGTCCGTCCATTGAAGAAATGATGTTGATAACCCATATCTTCACGTTGGAAAACTGATTGGAAGCGATGGCCAAAAGTCTGGCGACAAAATGAAGCAACGAGCTGCTGAGTGTAAAGTTGGACGTCGATAGGGAGCCCCTCACCTGCGAGTTACATGGCTCAGGACCTCCAAATTTACAGAATTGCCAGTCAAGTTAGAGATTCCGCCATCAACGATGTAGCAAAAAAGCGTTTTGAAAATGCCACAGGAAGCAGAAGTCTGCGGACAGCGATTCAAGTAGACCGTATTTTAACGATGACGTCCTCCTCCATTTTCGTATGTTTTTTCGAGCTTGGAATCGATTTTGCGTTTTCGCAGTCATCGAGTCAGTGAGTGCGGTTTTGGATCCCTTCGTCAGCTTGCCAACTGCATCAAGTGGTTGTGCCCACTTGATGAAGAGACCACACCGGAATGCCTACTTCATAAAGGAACCACACGGGAGAGGCACGCAAACTACCTCTTTTGCGACTCAAAGAAGATCAATCAGCTTATCTTGTCGCCAGTGGAAACATATTCTGGGTACGAAGCGCTTGTGTTTGCTGAAAGCGAGCTCCCTACAGACTCCTGCTTCTCGATGTGATCCGAGTCGAAAAGACAGATGGACAGATGGTTGTTGCTCAGCAGATACAGGCCCATGAAGGAGCTGGCTTTGTGCTGCAAGTCGAAATTGACAAGCCTCAAATCGACCATATTGTGTGTTTGAGTCGCTGACCAACTCAGTTTTGCTTCACCCTCGACTTCCCTCGCACCAAAGATCGAAGTCCCATAATTGAAGTGACAGGGTTGCACAGCACACGCCTGACGTTTTGACGCGATCACAGACATGCCTTTGCGGCGACTGGGACAAGCTCCAATTGCCGCGAAAGAGAACGGCGCTCGGATGGGAAGCAATCACGATTTGACTTGGCCGCTACTCTCTTTTCTTGCCTCAGCTTGACAAGCAAATACGAAAGCTTGAGGAATGAGCATGCGTTTGTGTGACTTTTCCCCGCATCTTTCGACCTATCAGAAGACTTTCGGGCAATTCGGGAAGGTGTTCCGTGACAATCCTGACGTGATGCATGACGCGTCAAAGACTTTCGCAGCTGATGCGACTGAAGGCCGGGAAAAAATTGAGAGGATTGTGATCGCTCCTTCTCCATTGGGCATCTTCATCACCTCTCAGTAACCACATTGTATGTAGTAGCAAGTTACTTGTCTTGTACAAGCATGCAAGTGTGCAAGCGATATGAGAATGCCTGATCTAAGTCTCTGTTTGTACACAGCGCACACGGTCATCCCTGTGACTTTGCGCAACACACCTGAGCCGCGCGTAAAGAGGAAGGCGTGTTTCTCCAAAAATAGCGTGCGTATTGGAAAGGCGAAGCCCGAAGCGTGAAGTCGTCTGAGTGCGAATTGCTTGCGAGATGCTGCCCCCTCTCCCCCCAACGTCCTGAATAAGACCGTTCTTCTGAAGTGACCTGATATGGCAAGATATCAAGTGCCATGCTCACCCAGACTACAATGACGGTCCTCGGCTCCAGAAGCTGCCTCGATGCTAAAACGATGTGTAGCGAACTTTTTTGCGGCTTTTCAGCAAGTGTTCCGGCTCCGTTCTGCTGCTTGCATTTAGTACTGGCACGTTGTACCAAACATACTATCAACGCGCAATCCTCACCTAGAAGCAGCACGGGGAGACGATCCACCCAGAGCATTCGAAGGTCGGAGGCCAGCACATGGAATGAAGCAACATTGGTTCTTGCGACGCGATCGGGCGCAAGCATTGGGAAGACGTGAGAAGGGGGCAAGCCAAGCAACAAATAAGCGCGTATCGGAAAGCCATAAGAAGACACAGAACTCGCAGCAACAAGTTGAGAGAGAATTGGAGCTACAGGAAGTTCAAATTCTGCCGCCACAACCCTGATGAAAGGTCTGGTCGTTGCTTGGGCCACGGCAGCATTTTCTCGCTATGAATTTTTTTGGTAGGAATTGTGCGCAGGTACAACGCATGTCAACAGGCTTTGTTTTCTCTATCTTGTTGTGCTTATGCAAGCGCTTTCTGAGCGCATTGCGGGGTGAGCCGGGAGGCTTGAGAACTTGTTTGTTGCCCCAAGCATTGAGCCCTTTGAGCCATAGCCTTGTTCATGCCAAGGCACCAGCTGATGGTGTTGCTGACCCCAATGCTGCCTTAGTGGCCCGCGCAAATTGAGGAAGATGAGCAAACCTTGTAGGTCTTCAAGGTCAACGGATTGTTCTGAGCGGAGACTCGCGTCTGACGGTGCGTACGAATCTGGAACATACAGACACTGCATTCCGATAAGGCAGAGGTGGTCACCAACAATGGTAGGTGTAACATAGAAACGCTCTGCTTGAGTCACGGCAAGCCGCACCTTGGGAGCGCCTGACATTATCGTGATGTGTATCCTCTTCGCGAAGAGAACAAGGCAACGAATACGTTTGCAGGTAGCGCAGTATGTGTGAAGCACTGCTTACATCTGACCTGCGCAAATGAGGAGAGGGTGCTAAGAGAGAGGGAAGAGGACGACGCGATTGGAACCTCCATGATGGATATCTGCATTTGTAGGTCCACATGCTGATCAAGAACGTCTCGACATCTTGCTTTCTAGGGGAACGCCTTCACTTCCGCATGGATGATGTGTCTGCAGTTGGAACCAAAATCAGCATCTGTTGACTGCAAACACAGAACAGCCATCACATCATGAAGATGTCGATCAGGATGTAGATGACCCAGCCATCCTGCTTCCATCAAGTGTGCCATGTATGGTGGCTTAGCCTGTTGTCTGCACATTCAGCAGGGCTTCTTGCTTCCTGATGCACACAGCAGGGGTAGTCGATATGAGCATGAGCGGTCCTGATAGGCTAAGTCGACTCGTGCTCCAGGAGTTGCTCCCAATGTGAATTGGCCAGGTGAATGTTCGGAGCATCCAGATCCTTACAAAGTAGTGCTGACCAGCAACCTCACTTCCAAAGAACCGAAGAGAATCCCTTGTCAGAGCATGACGTGCTTGCAAGATTGCGAAAGTGTGGACTTAGAGGTGCATGTGAGTGCCTCGTACTACCTCTAGATTAGCAGCATCAGCCTTGTAGCAAAGGGAGACAAAGTTGAGTGAGCAGCAGCTGAGCATGCATTCAAGATTCCGTGCAGTGAGTCCAGCACACATCCCACGCATTCGGGACTCAGTGCTGGAAATGTTGCCCAACAAGCTGGAACAGGTCTTTTCACGTCGTCTAGCTGATTGAGACCACAAAGAGGGGGCGCACAGGTAGCTCATGTGGTGTCCACAGACGAGTTCGTTGTCAAATTAGACCACCAGGTCTTCAAGTGCAATGTGACCTGCTACGCAGAATTTGGAATAGCAAGCCAGCTGAGAGCTGAGATCGCCATGTCGCCTCATCGGGTGAGGAGTGCAAGTAGACCAAGCGAGCAGATTACGCCGGAAACGAGAGCCATCGAATTGTAGCAGACATATGCCTTTGCACCTGTAAGACCGCCTAATTGGGTGGACGTGCAAAGCAGGGTGAGGACTCAACAACGCACGGAAGGGGAGCAGACCGCCATCCAGTAACGCGAGTCTGGGATATTTGATAAGTATTCATGATCAGACAATCTCGAGATCAGATTTTGAATCCTCCAGATAGACTGAGTGGTTTAAAGCACCTGGGGGTCGTACATGCGCATCGGACGTGGTGCCCAAACCGCGCAGTCTCGCCGTTGCGTCACGCCACGAATCAACTCGCGAGAACGTCTCGGGTACTTTTGAAGTTTGTGAAGTCGCAGCATCCGGCGTCTTATGAGATGATTCGTGCCGCGCTAGGAGCTAGCGAAGGGGGCACGACAGAGATACTTCCACTCAGCAAGAGGCCCTAAGCGAGCGCAAATTGCTTCGGCAATCAACCTCACGCCCCACTCACCCGCATTCGGTTGTCAGTGGTGCTGTTTGGTGCACTCTTCGTGTTCTGCTGCGATCGTCGACCGGCTAGAGGATCGAAGCCAAGACGCTTGATCATCTCCGGTCCGTAGGCCGAGCGTGCTTGGATCAGATCGGCTTTGTCTTGCTGCGTGGACTCCTGGCCTGGGATTCGATCTTGTCTAGCAGGAAGACGTTTGGTTGTCTGATCGCGGTCAACGCTTTCTGAATTTCTCTTTACACCCCGTCTTCTCGATGCAGGCGACTCTCGCTGGCGTTCGAGAGTGGATTGCGCTGAAAGAAGGGCTCTTGCCGCAACGCTGCCTCCGAGTACGGTATCGTCGTGTTCCGAAGCTTCAATCAAGGGCTGCGAGCCTCGTAGCTGCTGCTGGGCAGAAAGCTGTCTGTGATGAGTGCTGCCGTGACCAAGACGCGCTTCCAACTGGAAGATGAGACCTGCTTCTTCCCACGCCTTCTTTCGCCGTGCTTGTTTGTCCGCTTTGCCTCTCCCATAGTAAGCAGCAGCATCGAAAGAGTGACTGTTCGGATCCGAAGCAGCCAGTAAAGCGCCTTCACCAATCACAGCGGGCCCGCGGCGGACATGCTTGCCAGCAGTGCGCCCTGATGATGAGGAGGAAGGCTGGAAGAGGCGCTCTGCTGGATCGCGAACAAAAGAGCTGGAGCCAAAATTGGGATTGATTTTGAGATCGGAGCTGGCTGCGGCATATCTCCAATCAGTCGTTCTGCAACACAACACCATGAGAGGTGCAGCCCGAGTCAGCCGCTATCACCTCACTCTGCTTTTGTGGAGGTGAATCGACTCACGTGTTCGCCAAGTCATGCCGCTTGCCCCCACTGTTCTTGAGCGACGCTTCGAAATGCACCTGACAGACCTTGCTTCCAGAACGACCGTCGACATATGCGGAGCACAAGTCACCTTCTCTGGTCATTGCTTGACACCTGTTGAAATCTGCGACCTGACCGATGATGGTCATTGTACTGTCATGCACCAATTTGAGCTTGAAAACTTTTGAAGCAGCGGTGCTCTTTCCACCGGGCTTTGCGGGCACAAGAAGACCCTAAAACATTCGCCAGATGACGGGTGATGGCGATGAGTCAACGCCTGATGCGGAAGCTTGCGAGTTCACTGTCGCCTGACTCACTGCTGAGTTTGAAATTCTGGGATTTGTGATGCAGAGGAGCGCGCCTGGACGTTCGTGCACCAATCGCTCGAACGCTCCGCCACTGCCTCCCCGCCATTTGCTGCGCTGATTCAGGATGCGATCCTCCTTGACGGCTTGAAAGACCATCATGGTCAACATCTCGTCTCCGCCTCCTCTGGCATCGGCACCGAGGTCTTGAAGCCGTAGGATCATATACTTGCGGCCAGCGCCGGAGTTGGCGTTATCGTCCTCGCTGTCGGCATCCTCATCGGTCTTTTCATCCTGCTCGTCGAGGGGCAGCCCAGCTCTTTGCAGGTCTTTCTTGCGCTTCTGCTTCTCCTGACGCTTCTCGCGACGCTTGTCCTCCTTTTTAAGCTTCTGTTTCGCATGCCACTCTTCGAAGCGCGCCTTGCGCCGCTCATTGCTCCTGCGCTTGCGCTCCTCGTCGTCTAGGTGCTGATCCGCCTCGTCGTGGCTTGACACATCGCTGTCGGGATGGATATACGATTCGCCCTTCTGTGTGCCCGGTTTCGGCTTCCACTGCTTGCCTTTGGAGATCTTGACGGGCGACATTTCCACAATGACAGCCATGGTGAGCCATTCGCCAACGACGGGCACCTTGTAGTCACCGTGTAGATTTGTGGGTTTGGGGTCGACGATGGAGTAGAGTGTGGAGGGCGACAAGTGATAACGGCTTTCCAACCATCCGTGCACCTGCACATTCGACACGCGGCGTTGTCTAAAGGTGAGGGTGATGGGATGGTTAGCGCTCTCACGCTCGTGCACGACGTTCAGAATACGCCATCCGCAGACGTTTGCTGGTCGAAGCAGGCTCTTGACTCCAAAAACGGCTGCACCTAAAGAGCCAAGATGATCCAGAAGCACGGGAATGATCGACTCACTTGAGACGCGTGCGCGAATTCGGCTCGAATGTGTCCCACTGTGCATCATCCATCGCAGCAGCGCCCAGATCGCGTGGACCTCTCTTCAGCGTCTCCACTACGCGCAAACGCTCGTCGCGCGCAGGTGTTAGAGTGTTGCCCTGCTGCTCATCTGCATCGTCACCCTCTTGGCCGTTCTGATGCGCCGAGTGTCGACGTGGTGCTGCCGACATGCGGTCCGCGAATGATGCACGGCTGGATTGCGCACTGGCAGCAGGGTGAGATGTTTGGACATGAGCAGCAGCTATAGGGAGAGGTGGTGGAGGGCGAGAAGAGGTGGAGGCTTGCTGTGCAGCTGCACGCCGCATGATCTCGACGCCTTCTCGAGTGCGCGAGGCGAGCGAGGTGTGATGGTAGCGCGAAGCATTGGTCGGAGTGCTGGGGGCAAGAATGCGCGGGAGTGGATCCATGATTAGAGAGAGAGAGAGAGAGAGAGAGAGAGAGAGAGAGAGAGAGAGAG